TGTGTGTAAATGCACACGTGTGAGTGTGTATAGACACGTCCACTATGGGTGTGTATGTGAGTGCACACGTGTGATTGTGTACACACACATCTACTATGGATATGAGTGTGAAGGCACACGTGTGAGCGTGTACAGGAGCGTTTGTGTGCTTGTGTTGGTGTTGGGGACCTGATGGGCGGGCGTGAGAGCAGGGTGTGTACCTGGTGAAGGGTGTTGAGTATCGGTTGTTTTGCGTTTTTGTTGAATGGGGTGTTGGCTGGTGGGGGCCCCCTCGTAGACTGGGACTCCTGGGCTCTTTTGAATATGCCAGGTTCTCAGCCCCAGTAGGGAGGGTTCCAGTAGCTGACTGGGGGCCATTCCAGGCAGCCCCCTGCTTGTCACGAGCTGGAAGCGGCTCTCTTCAGCTCTGGGGCCCCCAGTTCAGCTGTCCCCTTTCTCCATCCAGGGGGCCCCCCTGTCTGGATGCGGGCCCATGCAGCCCCCCTTGGAGAGCAGGGCTGGAGGAAGGGGAGTAGGAAGGAGGAGGGTCTGGGGGTGGACCCTGCTGCTCCCGGCTCTGCGCCGTGGGGACTTTGAGTCGTCTGAGCGCTAGGGGGCAATGTGTCTGTTCCAAAGAAACTGCAGGCCCTTGCAGGCCGAGCGCGCACACAGGCACACGCAGGGGCGCCCACCCCGTGGAGGCACACACACCGGCACGTCCACGGGCACCGATGTCCACTTTCACACTCACAGAGAAAACACACATGCTCGAGCAGAGACAGAGCCGCGGGTACAAACGCAGGCGTTACACACACGCAGAGGCATAGGGTTGGGGGACAGACAGCACCTCTCCTGGGGACATTCACGGAGACACCCGGAGACCCGAGAAGGCCTGTACCCAGATACACGCAGGTGCCCTGCCGCGCTCGCCCAGGCGAAGACATGGACGCAGCCGCACGTCGCCCTCCCGCACATTACGGAAAGGTGACCCAGACACATCCTGGAGAGAAACCCAGCCAGGCCCCAACACACCCTCCTTTCAGACGCTCACACACCTTGTAGACTGAACTCTTGGAAACAGCCCCAGAAAAATAGTCCCACACCCCCTCCCTGGAGCACACAGTTATTCCACAGGAAACCTGCCCAGGTGTTCAGGGGACCCCCACCCCCGTGTGAAGTCATGCCTTGGCCTAGGACACACCCCAACGGGGGGCTCCCCGGACTGCAGGTCTGTGGGCCATTCTTCCCACTGCCCTGGCCCACCCAGGTCTCCAGACAGGTCCGACTGCCACTATTTCCTCCAGACACGCACGGAGACATAATGCTCCTCACAGAGGGCCTCCTGAGACGCACAGCACCCGGCACCGATGGCTCTGGATGAGGTATGTGACCAGGTGTCAGGAGCTTTGCACGGGCCTTTGCCCAAACTGGGTCTTCCCCTTGGCCACCATCCCCTCTAGCCGTCCCCTTCCTGACCAGGAAGCTCAGGGTCTCCCCTGCTCTGGCCTGGGGCCCTGGGTGGGTGGGTGGGTGGGGTCCCTGGAGGCCCACCCAGTACCTCTATTTCTTTGTGCCTAAATCAGCCAAGCCTCAGTCTTTTCCGGCTCCCACTTCCCTGTCACTTTGCTAAGTAATAATTTCCATGTCCGATTCCATTTCTTTCTAGTTCTGAAACCTCTAAGCTATCAGCAAGAGGATAGTTCACATGAAAACTAATTACACAAAATCAATATTTAATCACAGACCAACAACCTGATCCTGCAGAAAAATCCTTTTAAAACTCCACCGCCCTGCACAAATACTTCTTCCCGATGCTTATTTATGGACCCCATTTTTGGTGGGGGTCATTTTCATTTTTAATTTCAAAAAGAAAAAAAAAAAAATCTGGGTAGACATCCACAACAGGAAGGTCCCAGGAAGGGCCCTAGATCTGAGCTGGCTTCGGCTCTCTGAGTTTCAAAGTTGCAAGTTTTTATTGCTTGTTTTCATGTTTATTCTTTTTGGGAGGGGTGTTATTTTCTCCTGGAGTCCCTCAAGAGACCCCGGCCGCTGTCCTCCCCTCACCCGAAGTTGAGCCGTGTCCCTGGCATTTTGGCTCTGGAACACCCAGAGTCTGCCTTCCCAGCAGTGACTCCAGGGAGCAATGAATCCGTGTGCACACAACGTGGTAACTTTTTAACTCCCGCCCGCGACGGTGGAGTGCTTAATCTGAGGTTTTTAAATAAAAAGGGCTCAGGGGTTGGTTTTATTATAACGTTTATTTCATTTCAGATTTCATGCGCAATTTAGCAAACGCTAGACAGACTTGGGTGATAAACACTTTCTTTTGTGGGGGGAAAGGCATTTTTATACACCATGCTTAATTTTATTTAGATTTAATAGCGATATCAGGGGCACTTCAAAGAAAGTTCTTTTTTTTTTTTTTTCCTCCCCTTCTCCTAAGAATGCTGGTCTGCTAGCGAAATCGCCTGGCGCTATTTTATGGCAAGGGAAATTACAGGCCTTCTCCCCCTTCCTCCCTGACACGCACTTTAGGGAGGAAAACACACACACACACACACGCAGGCACACAGAATAAACACCTTCCCTGCCCTCCATCCCCTCTCCCAACTTCTAATTGCAAGATAGATTTCAGCCTCAGTGGGGATCAGGAAGATCTAAACATTTTAACTAAGATTATTGGGATAAATATTTCATAAAGAGCAGGGCAGATATTAAATTACTCTTATTGATTTTAGTATCACAACCCAATTCCGTTCTTTGGCCTCTTCAGTTTAATTGATCTCTTAAGGAGGCCAACCTCGCGCCCGCAGAGGGCCTGGGCCTTGGCCCGGGTGTCCGGGGTAGGATGCTCCAGCGGGTCGGTGCACCTTCTGCGAGCGGGTCTTCTTTCTGGCTCTGCGTTCATCTGAGGTGCGGGCGGCCCGCCCCGCTCCACACTCCCCCGACAAGTGGCCAAGCGTTTAAGGCTCCCCTGGGCGGAAGCCGGCGACCGAGAACGGGGAACCCCGGGCAGGGAACAATTGTGCGCGCCCTAGTGAGGAGGAGTGAGCAAGCGCCCGGGTCTTTCGAGGAGAACCCTAACTTCGGGATCCCCCGTCTGCTTTCACCTCCAGGAAAATCCGAGGGTCGGCTAACTTGGGTGCCACTAGTAGGCAGACAGCGGTGGAGAACCGAGGGTTCGCCCCGGGGCTGAAGCGCAGCTGACTCTTAGAGACTTTCCGTGCGCAGTCCGGGAGCTTTGCTTGGCGACCCCATTGTCTAAGCGCCCCGCACCGCTTACCGCCCACCTCCCCGCCCCCTGCCCAACCCGCAGGTCTCGCTTCAGTTAGGGGTGGGGAGTTGGGAACTGTGTGAGTGGGCAGGGGGGCGAACAAAGCCAAGCTCCCGCCATTCTCCGCCGGCGCCCTCTCCACCCCGATGCGCCAGGAGGCCAGGGCGCGCCCCCCAGCGCACTGGCGCCGGACCCCGAGGCAAAACCCGAGCGGGGTACTCCGGAGCTGGCGAAGTGCGGGTTCATGGCGGGGGCCTCAGCAGCCAGCAACCAGGACCACCTTAAGAGCGAGCCCCGCCCCGGGACCGGAGCTCGGGCTGCGCTGATTGGTGCAAATGTAATGGCTGAAATTGATTGCTGAAATGCAAAACTTGTTGCTGCTTCTCCCGGCGCTGGGCGAGAGGCAGACACCGAGAGGGGAGCCGAGACCCTCGGAACGCCCCACGCAGAGCCCCCCCGCCAGCCGGGGGAGGGGTGCACGGACCCCCCCCGGGATGGCCCCCGCCCCCCCATTCCGGGATCGTAGAGCGTAGCCGGAACGCCTCAGCCCGCTCGCCCAGCGTGGCCCCCCAACCCGCGTACGCCCCCCTCCTCGGGTCCGAGGGGGACTCGCGAAGCACCTCGGAGCGGAGGCACGGAACCCGAGACTCGGAGCGACCCAACCTCTCGTCTCGCTGCCCGCCCGCGCCTGGAACCGGGCGCGGAGACCCCTTCGAACTCAGAGACCGAATAGAAGAGGACAGAAGCGGCAGGCGGCGGACGTGGCCGCGAAGCGGCGCGCCGGGGTGCAGAGCACCCGCCGCGGAGCAGGGGGAACCGCGCCTTCCCTCAAACCTCGGCTCGGACCCCGGACGCCCGCCGCCTCCCCAGCCCCGCTTCGCCCTCGGCTCAGGGCCCGCACCCGTGATGCCGAGCCGAGCGTCCGGCCCTCCGACCCGCTGAAGAAACAGTAGCAGCTTGCTCGGGGCCGACGGAGACTGTGCGAGCGGATCGTGCTCGGCGGAGGCTTGGGCTGCCGAGCGCGGGGACTCCGGGGGGCGGGGGGGGGGGGGGGCGGGGAGGGACTGCTCTGTCCATGCCCGGGCGCCAGCCACGGCTTTGAAAGGTCTCCTTGCTCGGCCCCTTAGCAGCTCCGCCACGGACTCCAGGAGGCTTCGGGAGACGTCCTGGGGCTTCCCACCCCACCCCGATCGGACTTAAGAAGGTGATCGCTCCGCTCTCCCTTCCTCCTTCCCGCCTCCTTCCCCCCCACTTAACTTTTTGTCTCCACTCGCCCGCAGCTCCGTCCCCTCCGCGCAAACCCACCCGCGTCTGTGCCAACTGCCGGGGCATGGGCCCCCCAGCACGGCTCCTGGAGGCCTCGCGGCACTGCAAGATGTGAGAGGCCCGGGTCCGGCAGAGCCAGAGCTTCGGGAGAGGAGCTGATAGCCCCCAGCCTCCACACGCAAGCGAGGTGGCGGTGCGCACTGCGCCCCCGCGGTGCTGAGCGTCCCGGAGCGCCCAACCCTGGGCCGGAACGTTTAGCTGGCCGGAGGCGCGCCGCGGAGAGCAGGCTGTCATGCCCTATTGATCCCTCCCCGCCCCCCCGCCAACTATGTTTGGGCTGGACCAATTCGAGCCCCAGATCAACAGCAGGAACGCTGGCCAGGGCGAAAGGAACTTTAACGAGGCCGGACTAAGCATGAATGCCCACTTCAAGGCCCCGGCTTTCCACGCGGGGGGACCCCCTGGCCCCGTGGACCCTGCCATGAGCGCGCTGGGCGAGCCCCCGATCTTGAGCATGAACATGGAGCCTTACGGCTTCCACGCGCGTGGTCACTCGGAGTTGCACGCGGGGGGGCTGCAGGCACAGCCGGTGCACGGATTCTTTGGAGGCCAGCAGCCGCACCACGGTCACCCCGGAGGCCACCACCCCCATCAACATCACCCCCACTTTGGGGGCAACTTCGGCGGTCCGGACCCAGGGGCCTCATGCCTGCACGGGGGTCGCCTACTTGGCTACGGGGGCGCCGCAGCCGGCCTGGGCAGCCAGCCGCCCTTCGCTGAGGGTTATGACCACATGGCGGAGAGCCAGGGGCCCGAGAGCTTCGGCCCGCAGAGACCCGGGAACCTCCCGGACTTCCACAGTTCGGGCGCCTCGGGCCATGCGGTGCCTGCCCCATGCTTGCCGCTGGACCAGAGCCCTAACCGAGCCGCCTCCTTTCACGGCCTGCCCGCCTCCAGCGGCTCCGATTCCCACAGTCTGGAGCCCCGAAGGGTGGCGAACCAAGGAGCCGTCGACTCGCTGGAATACAATTACCCTGGCGAGGCGCCCTCGGGACATTTCGACATGTTTTCGCCCTCCGATTCCGAAGGGCAGCTGCCTCATTATGCGGCGGGTCGCCAGGTTCCCGGGGGCTCCTTCCCCGGTGCCTCGGCCATGCCCAGAGCTGCAGGCATGGTGGGCTTGTCCAAAATGCACGCCCAGCAGCAGCAGCAGCAGCAGCAGCAGCAACAGCAGCAGCAGCAGCAGCAGCAGCAGCAGCAGCAGCAACAGCAGCAGCAGCAGCAGCAGCAGCAGCAGCAGCACGGCGTGTTCTTCGAGAGATTCGGCGGGGCCCGCAAGATGCCGGTGGGTTTGGAGCCGGGAGTAGGCTCCAGGCACCCGTTAATGCAGCCTCCCCAGCAGGCCCCGCCACCCCCTCAGCAGCAGCCCCCGCAGCAGCCGCAGCAGCCGCCGCCGCCGCCGCCGCAGCAGCCGCCGCCACCCGGGCTTCTGGTCCGACAAAATTCGTGCCCGCCGGCGCTCCCGCGGCCCCAGCAGGGCGAGGCGGGCACGCCCAGCGGCGGCCTGCAGGACGGGGGCCCCATGCTGCCCAGTCAGCACGCGCAGTTCGAGTATCCCATCCACCGGCTGGAGAACCGGAGCATGCACCCTTATTCGGAGCCTGTGTTCAACATGCAGCACCCCCCTCCCCAGCAGGCGCCCAACCAGCGGCTGCAGCATTTCGACGCGCCCCCCTACATGAACGTGGCCAAGAGGCCGCGCTTTGACTTCGCGGGCAGCGCGGGAGTGGACCGCTGTGCTTCGTGGAACGGCAGCGTGCCCAACGGCGCTTTGGACAACCACCTCTCGCCCTCCGCCTATTCGGGCCTCCCCGGCGAGTTCACGCCGCCCGTGCCCGACAGCTTTCCCTCAGGGCCACCCCTGCAGCATCCGGCCCCGGACCACCAGTCCCTGCAGCAGCAGCAGCAGCAGCAGCAGCAGCAACAGCAGCAGCAGCAGCAGCAGCAGCAGCAACAGCAGCAGCGCCAAAACGCGGCCCTCATGATTAAGCAGATGGCGTCGCGGAATCAGCAGCAGCGGCTGCGCCAGCCGAACCTGGCTCAGCTAGGCCACCCCGGGGACGTGGGCCAGGGCGGCCTGGTACACAGTGGCCCGGTGGGCGGCTTGGCCCAGCCGAACTTTGAGCGCGAAAGCGCGGGCGCGGGGCGCCTGGGCACTTTCGAGCAGCAGGCGCCTCACTTGGCGCAGGAGAGCGCGTGGTTCCCAGCTCCGCACCCGCCGCCGGGTGACCTGCTGCCCCGCAGGCTGGGCGGCTCTGGCCTGCCGGCTGACTGCGGCCCGCACGACCCCGGCCTGGCGCCGCCCCCTCCCCCCGGCGGCTCCGGAGTGCTGTTCCGTGGCCCTCTGCAGGAGCCGCTGAGGATGCCCGGAGAGGGCCACGTGCCCGCGCTGCCCTCCCCCGGCCTGCAGTTCGGGGGCAGCCTGGCCGGCCTGGGCCAACTGCAGTCGCCCGGGGCTGGGGTGGGACTGCCCAGCGCTCCCTCCGAGCGCAGGCCCCCGCCGCCGGATTTCACAGCCCCGGCGCTCGGGGGCCAGCCTGGCTTCCCGTTCAGCGCGGCGAACCGGCAGGCCACGCCACACAGCGGCCCGGGCGTGAACTCGCCCCCGAGCGCGGGCGGGGGCGGGGGAGGCACGGGCGGAGGCAGCGGAGGGGGCGCCTACCCGCCGCAGCCCGATTTCCAGCCCAGCCAGCGCACCTCGGCCAGCAAGCTGGGCGCGCTGTCGCTGGGCTCCTTCAACAAGCCCAGCTCCAAGGACAACCTGTTCGGCCAGAGCTGCCTGGCCGCGCTCTCCACCGCCTGCCAGAACATGATCGCCAGCCTCGGGGCCCCCAACCTCAACGTGACCTTCAACAAGAAGAACCCGCCCGAGGGCAAGAGGAAACTGAGCCAGAACGAGACCGACGGCGCGGCTGTGGCCGGCAACCCGGGCTCGGATTACTTCCCGGGGGGGACCACCCCTGGGGCCCCAGGGCCTGGAGGCCCGTCGGGGACTAGTAACAGTGGCTCCAAAGCCTCGGGGCCGCCCAACCCGCCCGCCCAGGGGGACGGCACGAGCCTCTCCCCAAACTACACCCTGGAATCAACATCCGGGAACGACGGCAAGCCGGTCCCCGGGGGCGGCGGCCGGGGACGGGGCCGAAGAAAAAGGGACAGTGGTCACGTGAGCCCCGGGACCTTCTTCGACAAGTACTCGGCCGCGCCAGACAGCGGGGGCGCGCCTGGGGTGAGCCCAGGGCAGCAGCAGGCGCCAGGCGCAGCCGTCGGGGGAAGCTCCACGAGCGAGGCTCGCGGGGCTCCTACGCCTCACGAGAAAGCGCTCACGTCGCCGTCGTGGGGGAAGGGGGCCGAGTTGCTCCTGGGGGACCAGTCGGACCTCATGGCTTCCCTGGACGGCGGGGCCAAGTCGGACGGGAGTTCCCCGCACGTGGGCGAGTTTGCCTCGGACGAGGTGAGCACGAGCTACGCCAACGAGGACGAGGTGTCGTCCAGCTCCGACAACCCCCCAGCCCTGGCCAAAGCGAGTAGGAGCCCCCTGGTGACAGGCTCGCCCAAACTCCCTCCCCGTGGGGTGGGCGCTGGGGAACACGGACCTAAGGCGCCCCCGCCCCCGCTCGGCCTGGGCATCATGTCTACCTCTACCTCCACCCCTGACAGCTACGGCGGGGGCGCGGGCCATCCCGGCACGCCGGGCCTGGAGCAGGTCCGGACCCCCACGAGCAGCAGCGGTGCGCCACCCCCCGACGAGATCCACCCCCTGGAGATCCTCCAGGCGCAGATCCAGCTACAGAGGCAGCAGTTCAGCATCTCCGAGGACCAGCCCCTGGGGCTCAAGGGTGGCAAGAAGGGGGAGTGCGCCGTTGGGTCCTCGGGTGCCCAGAATGGCGACAGCGAGCTGGGCAGCTGCTGCTCCGAGGCGGTCAAGAGCGCCATGAGCACCATCGACCTGGACTCCCTGATGGCAGAGCACAGCGCCACCTGGTACATGCCCGCTGACAAGGCCTTGGCGGACGGCGCGGACGACGACAAGACGCTGGCACCTTGGGAGAAGGCCAAACCCCAGAACCCCAACGGCAAAGAAGGTATATGCGCTTGTTCCCTCCTCGGCTCCCCCAGACCCGTCCCCACCCCCCACCGCAGGCCTCAGCCTCCGCCTTGAATGCTCCATCCAAGGGGACCATCCCTTGGGGCTGAGGAGGGCACAGGGCCCTCGTAGTGCCCAGCCCGGGGCTGGATACCCTTCCTTTGGGTACAGCAAGGGCTCTGTGGGCAGATCCCCCACTTGCCCCTCCCCCCAACCTCCAGGCACTGCTGGGTAGATTCTAGGTACACACTCACATGGGGACTTAGATGGCAGCCCTTTGGGGATTATCTTAAAGTCCCTTCACCAACTTTTAGCTGAGCTGCTCGGTGGTGCTCAGACCACTAGGCAGGCCCCTTTCCTTTCACACCAAGACCCCTCCTCACCCTCCTCATTTGGGCCGATCCTACTTTGTAGGAATTGCGTGCCTCTCCCCTGCACCCCCCCCCCCCTTCCTGGTAGGATACCTGGGAAGTTGTGTTAATACCTTCCCACCTTTTCCTAGTCACCCAGAGCCTCCAGCTTGAGGCTGTGTATGCCAGCATCTTTAGGGGAAAAAAAAAAAAAAAGTTACCAGAGCTGGCGTCAGCAGCATCACTCAGAGGCAACGCCTAATTTGACATTTGTTCCTAATGAATAGCTGTTTTGTCTCTTCTTAACTATTAGAGTTGCATTAGAAACCTGGAGACCTGTCTGGTGGTGGGAGGCAGGCCGGCTTTCCCTGGGCATCTCCTTGACATTTGGTTGGGGGGGGTGCTGGGGCCGGGGTGGGGTCTGCTTGGCTCAGCCAGGGCATCATTTGTGTAGGGAGGATGTGGGTATATATTCTTAAGACACAAAGGACCCGCGTTTGTCAATATCTCTCCAGGCTTTGGTGACAGATGTCTGGTCCCAGCTCGTGTTTGCAATCTGAGCGCAGCCTCCCCACCAGGCCCGGGGTTTGGGGGGGGGGACTTTAAGGTGGGTGGGGAGGGGGTTAGTAAATGGACCTCCACTGCAGTTAAAGTACTAACAGGTTTGTTTTGTTTTGTTTTGTTTTGTTTTGAACCAAGAGAGGACCGGACTGCAGTAGATAACCATTTTGTTTTAATGAGGCCTCCCCCCCCCCCACAGATAATTGCTTCTTAAAATTAGGTAACATCCTCATTCCCTCTCCCCCCATCCGCACTTTTTCTTTTAAGCCCCAGTTGCCTCTCCTGGGTTTCACCAGGCCCAATATTACTGTGGAGGCCGGGCCAGCCGCTGCCGATAGAACCCTCTGCCTTTAAAAGCCTGGGCCCCAGATTCTTGCTCTCTCTTAGAGTTCTCTTCCTCGGTGTTGGTGTGCCTGGGCCTCCCGACCCTGGGTTTAAGGTGGCCGGCAGGTTTTAGGAGGGACAGGGGGAGGGGAAGCGCGTGCAGAGTTGGGTGGCTCGGGGGAACTCGGGGCTTTCACCGCGCCGTCCGGGGGAGCTTTCCCGCTTAGGTTTTTCTAATTCATGAATGCGGCCTCGCGGCTTTTCCCTTTGTTCGCCTCCTGCCCAGCCCGGGACGCCGCTCTCTCATTTGAAGCTGGGTGTTTAGCATGCACAGCAGACGCCGAGGCTAGCATCAGCATTCTCCAGGCTTCTCCTAGGCAAGGCCATAAATTGGTTAGTTTGGGACCCTCCGCTTCTGCTCCCTGTTTCTTCCCCCCTTCCTTTTTAAAATGGAGTTGGACACCGCACCCTGCATGCCCAGGGCCGCCTCCCCCACCCACCCCGTCTCTTTTATTTTCTTGTACACAACATCTCGATCCTACCTCCCGATGGACGGATCGATAGCTGGTTAGCACAAATCCCAGCCCCTGTCACTTCTACCTGGCTGGGCCTGGCTGCCCCTCCCCCTCCCCGTCCTCCCCTCCCCCCTCTCCCAGTAATTAAGAACATATTGGCCAAAATAGGGGTGAGAAAAGTTTTTTAAAAACCCCTGATTCTGAGAATTAGTGAAGAAAAACCAGTAGCTGGTGGCCTTTGAGTCTTCTGAAGGGCCTCCAGTAGACTAGGAGAAGAGGAATTGAGTGGTTTTAAGATTTTTTTTTTTAAGGTGTCACAGAGCCCTCTCTTCCCAGCCCAACTAATCTTCCTTTCCAGGAAAAAAAAAAAAAAAAAAAAAAAGAAAAAAAAAAAAGAATGCGGGCTGTGCACGAAGAAATGTCACTAAAGATACGTTTTGTTTTGTTTGTTTCATTATCACAGTCAGAGGAGCGAAAATATTTTTTTGGAAACAGATGCTAGGCACTTTAGGGTTGATTTCCCCTGTAAGCTAACCGCAGCCCTCCCCTGCACGCGGAGGGGGACTTCCTTCAGGGACCGGGCTGCGGGGCTGGCCTCCTTAGCAGCATAGGCAGGGACAGCCACTTGACCTCCTTTGTTTTCCACTCTGTGATGTGGGAAGGACAGTTTCCTAGATAAAGCCCCGAATTGAGGTCACTCGCAGCTTCTGCAGCCTTGGGGCTGCTAGTTAAGGCTTTATAAGGTATCTGCATCTGATTCCTGCTCCCTTACTGGTAGTAAATAAGGATGATTAAACTTTTCATTATGATAACACCCTGTGGCTCCATCTGCACATGCTGTATAAATAGGTACACAGAGCCTTCAACAGGCCCCCGAGTCCCCTGGCTGGAAAATCCGAGTGAAGTGTGCCACTTCAAAATAGAGTCGAAGAAGAATTTTTAAAGTAAAACGTTCTGCTTCCCCTTAAACACATGCCTGTGGGCCCGTCAGCCGTGAGGCAGGGTGTCCGGCAGCTTTGAATACACCTTCTGGAGGTTCCGGCCCCCGGCAAAGACCTTCCCTGCCACCCCCTCTCGGGCAAAGCACGTTTTGGTAATGATATTTTATTTTGTCACGCCGTAAAACGCGCCAGTCCTAATGTGATTAAATATTAACACCGTTTCTGAAATTCTTCGCTCCGATGACAAAATGCTCGCCGGTATTTAACGAAATGATCTGTGCTGGGATTGGAGCGGACGAATACATCTTCGGAACTGCACAAGCCGTGGAGTCAGTGGGACGTGCCCAGATTGTCTTATGGGGTCTAGATGTCCTTCAGAGGGGAGGGAACCCAAGTGGCCAGTTGTAGTCTGGCAAAGTCCAGGCCAGGATCACGTGTGATTAGGATTTTTTTTTTTTTTCTACCAGGTAAGCGAGCTTCTCCAAATGACGCTTCTCCCGACTTCTTCACCCGCCAAACAACTTTCATAATAATGAAACTCTGCGTCTCATCTTGAGGTTCTGTTTGCACAAAGTTGGGGTGGGGGAAGGGTGAGGTTGTGCAGAGGGGCAGGGTGGGGGGAAGAGAAAAAAAGCCAGCTTGAGTTCGGGACCTATTCAGACATCTGTTATATCAGTGAGGATTACATGCATTTGAGACTAGTTTGCAACACCGTCTACCTATCCTTGTAATAGGTGTGTGTGGCTATTGGAGGAATTCCAAAACAGAGGAGGAGGAAAAAAAAGCCCCGAGAGATTGCAGATAAAGGGAATTAAGTCTGAAAAAAGTACGTTCACCCCCTCCGGGCCCTGAAACGATTTTCAAAACTTGAGTTAACCGTATTCTGTGATAAGTTTATCCCTGCCAAACTTCCACTCCGTTGCTTGCTCTCTGTCGTGAAATCCGGAGTCGTCTCGAAACGTTCCTTCACACACACTGAAATAGGAGAGGGCTTCCTGTATGCTTGTGCATGCAATCCTGCCCTTTTTGGAAGTATGATCTTTTCACGGTGATGCGGGAGAAATTTTTGGAATTTCGTGCTTCTCTCAGCGTGCCGGCCGGACAGCAGTAAGCAGGGCTGAGAAATAGTAGGCAGGCAGGATCTGGACACTGAGTTTTCTTAGACATGGAGCAGGCTGGGGCAGGGGGAGGAGGGAGGTCCGAGGGCTGTTTCCTGAGTCGTTTCCCCCACTGCCCACAGCGTGGAGAGAATTTTCTAGGCTCACTCAGACTTGTTTGGGGAAGGCAAGGCTCCTTGCCTTCCCATTTCCCTGCGAAATCACCCAGCACGGGTTGCATGCCTTCATGTGACTTTTGCGCCTCCGGAAGATGTAACCCAAAACTTCGCAGGTGTTAATCAGGGGTAATGTAAACAGATAGGAGCCCCCTTTGTGCAGCTGACCAGCCAGCTTGCTCCCCGGCTAGTCCGGGACATTCTACTACTGTTCTTTGGTGCTTGTTTAATATTTCATGGCTGTAATAAACCTGTCTTCTCTGCCCGCCTCCCGACATAAAACCCCAGCATAGCACACACATCTGCAATTATGCATTTCTACTAAATATTAATAAAGGACAAGGATTTTTTAAGGGTTTGAAGCTTATCGGTGTTGAACTTGCTGTGGTTTCCACCGCTGCTGGGTTTTTCTAGCTGTTTTGATTTTAAATAGCCACTGCCTTCCGATCTATACCAGAGACCTCTGTTCTGTTTCCATGTGTGTATCTGTACCTGTGAGTGTATAAATGTATACGGTTTTTGTAGATTGAAGGGTTTTCCTCAAGGATAGCCTTCTTTAATATAAATTCATTTAGATTTCTTGTGAGGCCCTTCAGACCGGAAGTAAGGGACTGTTGAACTGTACTTCTATTTTATTGAAGTTTCTAGGAAGGGAGCGAGGGCTGGCTAATCTAATATCTCTTTCTAGCAATGAAATTCTATGATTCCTGATACGATTTTGTTTGCCTGACAGAGGTATTTAAATTTCCACACAGAGTCTTAACAGGCCCTGAAAATCTTAATAGGTCCTGAAAAATAGATCCTGCCCTTGCCAAGAAGTTACTTGATACTCTCTGCTGATATAAAATATACATCTTTAATAAACAGTCCGGGAGGACCAGGTGAAATTAGAGGAGGGGAAATTCTTCCTACTCTGGCAGGACAAACTTGAGTGTGTCCTTGGGATTTTTCACAGGCTCTCCTGAACCCACTCCACGCTGGAAGATTTAGCAAAATCACCTTTTTCTCCGCTTGGCCGACAATCACATAGGGTC